TCAATCCCTGAGCTTAACCTCTATCCTGACCCTAAACGTCAACCCCGACCCCCCAAGCCCGAGTCTGACCTGACACTAATTCTGACCCCGATAGCCCCACCCTCGACCCTGAACCCTACCCTGATTCCCGACGCTGATAGCCTGATCCTCGACCCTTTCTCCTAATCCTTACCCGACCCCAGTCCCTGACACCATGATCCTGACAGATCGACTCCCCCGCCCCGCCCCCACCATCTTCCTCATTTCTCATAGTATTTTCCTAAATTATATATAATATTTCATGATAATATTTTTTATTTACTTGCCAAACACCAAAAAATAAGCAAGAAAATTATTTAGTTTTCAGAAAAATATTTTTCTTCGTACCAAACATATCCTAAATAATTTACTCTTTTATTTGGTTGTCTCTATGCCCGGTGGTTAGACCATTTGTGTTGACTACCTTAGTTTGTAACATTTCCACAATTCTGGAAGATTTCCCGGGGGGGGGGGGGGGGAGTCAGAATAAGAAGAAAATAAATGTTTTCCATAATTGGGTTGCTTCAAGCATTACCAAACCACATATATTAATCACATATGATAGGGTCGAACTAATCCTTGCAAATTCCTTTGGTGAGCAATCACACCTATCTGAACCACTTCCACTTCCCCCTAAAATTTGTTTTTGGATTCTTTCAAACGTCCATCTATGGCTAAAAGTTATGTTAGATAAATGGTCAGAAATATCGACGACCCTTTATATACATTTAGCACCATTTTGCATTTACACACCTAATTTTTAGCACGGCCTATTAAACACATGAAATGTAAAATATGAAACTACAAAATCCTTACTACTGATATTATGAGTGATCGCATGTTTCCCACCCGAAATTGAGTGCGTTAAATAGCTTTAGATTATCGTACAACAAAAGACCATTAGAAATTATGCACACCGAAAAAATTAATTTTCGATCATCTCGGATGAGCCTCTAGTGACCCTTTGCGCCTATTTTCTTTCGTTTTCCAAATTTATTTTGAAAATGAAAAAATGCGTGAGCAAAGATTAATTTTGAATCTAGAAAAATGCTGAGATATATATTTTGAATTAGGAAAGTGAGTGAGGAGAAGAAGTGCAACGTGTGTTTTCTTTTTCTCTTATGTCCTTTTTAGCGTTGGTGATATGTCTTGTATTTTCATTATCATTTCACCTGCATATGAACTCCATGTTTTTTTTAGCTAGCTATTAATAAAGAGTTTAATAGCACAAACCTGCCAACTTTAGTTATTCAATAGGTCAGACTTTTAAGATAAGATATCTAAATATAAAAATGGTCTGAGGTTCAATTAAGAGGTTGCTCATGAATTTGGCTTACAGCTTGTTTGGATGATTGTTACATGTCGTTTCATAATATATCGTATTATATTGTATTGTTTGATGAATAAAATGTTTGGATAGATTGTATCATTTATCGCCGTTTGATGATGTCACGCACCAACAATATAAAAAATAAACTTGCAATATTACTAAGAAAAAGTATGATACAAGGTAGAATTATTATATAAAAAAGTAGGGTAAAAGATAAAATACGATTATTTAATAATAAGGAAAGGAAAGATGAGAGGAAAAAGCAAGGTAACGACGTCACCACACCAAATCCGTCGTTACATAATATGTCATTTTTCGTCGTTATGTAACGACGGATTTAACAATACGATGCGATAAAATTAAAGTAACAACCAAAACAAACATTATATTTAAAGTAATAATACGATACAATATACAATAGGTAACAACCATCCAAACAAGCTGTTAGAAAAACTAATTCACTAAGTACTAGAAAACATCATAACACAGAGAAACCAAAGAAACCCATCATAAATTCGGGCATGGGTTCAACCTTTAAGATTTTTAGTATTGAAATTTCAAAAGTTTAATTAATCCGTTATATATTTAAACTTAAGGATTCATATTTACTAATTGTTACAATTTTATTATATATTTATATATGAAATTATGCTCCGCGTTAAAAGTATTGGGTTCAGAAAACCCACTAACGTTAAGCAGCATCCATGCCTGAATGGATTAAGTACGTCGTTCCCATACATGAATTGGATCCATACATATAAGAAATGGTGAGAATATGCATACAAGTAATTTTATTGGAACAATAAATATAACTAGTAGAATACTTAAATATTTCCTTTTGAAGAATCCAGATTTCAAATAAACAAATTCAAACTTGAAAATGATTTTCCTTATTCTAAAGAATGAGGGGCAAAGGATCGAGATGAAGTTGAGACTTAAAAGATCGAATGAAACAATATATAAACAAAAGAAAGAGAGGCAAAGAATCGAGATGAAGTTGAGACTTAAAAGATCGAATGAAACAATATATATAAACAAGGAAATTCCTTATAGGTACGTGCACTTCAATAAAAGAAAAAAAATATTTGTTCAACAATATCACTACTTAGGAACTTTATCTTTTATCTGACCTTTAATTAATTGTGGAAAATAAATAAGGCAGCTAAGTTGCGGTGGGGTGGAATACTTGTTTAGCAACGAGCGATTCATCTGCAATGAAATTATTAAGAAGTTTGCTCTTACTTCCGTATGTGCTTTTATGTACAGCTTTTAACTAATTAAGACTTCACTGTGGACGACACGGACACATTGGGGCCTCTACATCATATAGTAGTATCATAGGCGGACTGAATTCGGTTGGTCATGAGAAAAAACAACTCGTTCGATAGTGGGACGGGCTGGTTAGTGAGCTGGAATTCCAGGTTGGTAGTGGGCTAAAAAATTTCGGGTTTAAGTGGGCCCGTTCAGGTTCGAACCTATCCGGTTTGAACCCGTCCGATTTTTTTAAAAATGTATTATGTTTTCTTATTCGATATAATTGATACTTTAGTGTTTACAAACTTTAAAATTATAAAATAAGTATTTTAAGACATAAAATTAAACTTTTAAATTTTTAATTTTAAACTTTACACTTTAAAGTGTTAAATTTGAAAATTGAAATTAAGTGGTAATATTTAATTATTTAATAAGACCAATGTGTAAGGATAAAACTTCAAAAGCTTTCATTTCATTAACTTGCAAGTTCTATTTTGAATTTTTTATTTTTGAACTTGCAAATTAAAAGTTTACTATTTTTGAACTTGCATGTTTTGTAAGTTCTTCCATGTCAACATGAGGTTCTTGGTTTTCGGCATTGCTTGAATCGGAACCATAAACCATTATATCTTCAATTTCTTGGTCCTCCAGTTCATCTACCTCTTTACGCCATTGATTTCTCCGCTCTGATCTTATCCAATCTCTAAACCACACTAGAACGTTCAAACTGTTGCTACTCAATGAGTGACGGGTATCTCATAGCTGCTGCATTGCTTGGCTAAATGCACTCTCTGATGAAACTGTTGAAATCGACACATTTAGTATGTTCCGAGCCATGGTCGAAAGAACGTAAATTGATTTGAATTGTTCTTCCACCAAGCCAGCGGTAGAAATACCTTTGTGCGGGGCTCTGTTGCCTTTTGCAAGTAGAATTGGAGCTCATCAATATTTCTGCTACTGGATTGTTGATGATCCCTACTGTAGCCCAAATTAAATAATCTTCAACACCATCATTATCCTTAGTAGCATCGGATGCGGATGTAGAACTGAACTTGAAGAAATATTAGCATTTGCATCTACCGCAGAAAAAGTATCAACAATGTTAGCATAATAATTATATAAAGCTTGTAAATATTTATGTAGATCAGAAATGCAAGTGTCACTATCAGGGATTTAAGTTGGTCCAATATCCATATAGGCATATAAAGCAGTGATTAATTAGCGACAAGTAGTCATCTTGACAGAAGGATGCCGCACTAAATTTGATATCATACTTCAGTTGACATTTGATGACACCACACTTCACTAGATAATTGTAATTTTGTAGTGGCCACCATAAATAATTGATAAAACTTAAAATAATAATTAATTGAGAACATGAGAGCAACAAGCAATACAATAATCAAAACGGAATTGAGAGAGAATTAGAGTAGAAGAAGAGAGCAAGTTGTGAGAAGAGGAGGGCTATTTATAATATTTAAAAGGTTAAAAATATAATTTATCAATTATTAGGGGTGGGAGCTATTTTATTAAGGGGTAGGCCGAAATAGCCTTTTTTGCAAAAAAAATAGTTGTTGGCCGACGGTCATCTCAGTTTTTGACCGTTGGCAACAGTCAGATATTTTTTATAAAACAATTCCTAACAGCTACCGGGCTAGAACCCGGTTAAAACTAGTTAAAGGGTTACCGGGCTAGCAAGCTTCCGCGGCACCCGTAGCCTAAAAGTGCTCGACCCCGTCCAGAACAACCCCCTACCCTTATCAATCCGTCCCACCCCCTACCGGATCGGACTGACCAAGGCTGTACCGAATCGAATCGGGTTGTTCGGGTTGTTAGTGGGCCGGCCCGTTTCGATTAACACCTTTAGTATCATAATATATGAAAGGGGGAAGAGATCTTCCTCTTTGAACCCATGGTCCCAACAAATCTGCTCCAATGTACAAATTAGACAAGTAAAGAAAAAAATGTGGGGAATATAGCTGAAAAAAGGACCACAGCTATAAAACTTAACTTTTACATGATTTAACAAAACAAAAATTGTAAACTATTTAATGATGATTTGATACAAACGGAATGACAAAGGTGAGCCGGTGACCAACTTTTCAGATTTTATATAAGCAACAAAGTTGGCTCAAAATTAGAGTTAAGAAGGTTTTTCAGAACGTTCAGTTTTACATAAAATACCAAAAGGCTCAATCCAACCTGAATAATTATTTAGAATGCGCCAAGCCTATCCCAATTAAAAGATGAATCTCTTTCTATTAGATGTTGACATAATAGGCATAAAGGCTTAAACTAGATTTCTTTCGTCATTCTACTTTAAGATGCATAAAATTGAAGTTTAATTTTATAAGCAAAAACATAGACTGAAAAAGCAGTTTTTGGGTAACAATTGCAATTCAAAATAAATTCACACCTGTTTATGGATTCAACTCCAAACTGAATCATACAACAGCTTTTTAATTAAAAAAACTGTTGGAAAGTCGCCATTCACAATTCTTAGACTTCAATTTCAACCAAAAGTCCCAAATAACCGCATAGGGAAATAACCCTAAAAGGAAAAAACAAAAAGAAAAAATTTATTTAGTGGCAAACTCCTTGTTTGACCACTCTAAAGTCCAATCAAATTTACTTGGCCATTCATAATCATTTGCCTGTAATTTCTATTTTCTTCTACTCATTCTCATTTCCCTAACAATACGACACATTTTCCTTACCATTTACCACAATGCAGCATATTCTGCTCCCAATTTTGTACAATCCTAACCATGGCTTACCCAAAAGCCCCAACTCCAACCACTCCAAAAAAAAAATAATATTTTTTTAAGATTATTCTGAAAACCAAGTTAATGAAAATTAACCAGCCGGCGAAACAGGTCCAAACCGGCTCCGAAATCCACCAGCGATCACCGGGTCATTAACGCAGTGATGAAACGTGGAGCTTTTTCCATTTCCATCATTGCCCCTACATTCCTCGCAAGTAGCTTTCTTCTCCCTTGAAGTTTTCGTCATCATTGGGAAAGTATCTTGGATCCTCGGGAACGAATTCGGGTTCGGGTACGGGTTACTCATATGCATCAGATTCGGATCCAATTGGGCCAAACCCATGGCGTAATTATTATCCTTCTGAATCTTCAAACTCTGTAACTGATCATTCAGATTCTCCAACTCCGCCTGCGAAATTTGATCATAAAACGGCGACCCGAACCCGAGATTCATTTCTGANATTATTATCCTTCTGAATCTTCAAACTCTGTAACTGATCATTCAGATTCTCCAACTCCGCCTGCGAAATTTGATCATAAAACGGTGACACGAAACCGAGATTCGTCTCCGGCTGGTTTCTCCGGAGAAGAATTGGCGGAGTTGAAACCGGAAATTCATTCTCCGTCATAAAGCCGCCGAACTCCGCCCTCGCCTTCCGGCTTCGCGACTTCCTGGACCGCTTTAAAACCACGAGGAAGAAACAATCCTTCTCAAGAGCAATCAAACCGAAATTCGCCTTACCGGTGATGGGAATTCGCCGGCGGTCCTCGAACTTGGAGCTCTTCCGGTCGCACAAGTAAATAGAAATCTGGTTCGGAGAAATCCCGATCCTCTGGCTGAGCATCAACTGAAACGCCTTGAATTCAAGCATAGGGTAGACACGTATACTCCCAATATTCATCTCCCTCTCTCCGTCAAAAAACACCACCGGAAACTCCGGTCCAGCACCGCCTTCCACCATATTTACTCCGGCAGATGACGTCAGTTGCCGGTGAACCAAACACATTAAAAATGGGAAAAGGAGAGTTGTGGAAAGGAAGTAGACAGGGGTTTATATATACAGGGAAGAGAGGTGGGGTTTAAGGGAGGGGTCGATTAGTAAATAAGATAAGGCGGTGGGGGATAATTGTGGGAATAAAGTATTGGTATAGAAGAAGACAGACTAGCTTCCAGATGCTTTTATGGGAGGAAGAAAGGGGATTGGTTAGAGGGGTGGGGTGGGGTAGGGGGTAGGGTTAATTGAGTGTGGTGGTGGTTGCTTGGAGATCAAGTAATAGAATGTGAAGTGTGTCAATACTCTTCCAACTGTTCTAACAAATATCCTTTTTTATGTTCTCTTCTTAAATGCCGATTTTTATCGCCACGCCATTTGTTTTATTTATTAGGTGATGATATGGTTCGTTTAATATTTTCTTTAAACGCCAATTTCGTGGAATAAATTTTCATATTCGATAATTTAAAAGCTTTAAAAAATCATAATTTTGAGGTACTTTCTCCGTCCATTTTAATTGATTTTTAATTTTTTTTTATGATTCATAATATTTAATTTTTTAAGATATTATAAAAGAATTAACTTATTTTTTCTGAAGTTGTCTTTGATTAAAGATTTTTGGAGTATCTGTTATATTTTTAATGAATAAATTAAACAGATAGTAAAGATTAATATAATTAATTTTATTGTTAATTAGTGTTAAACGATAAATTCTTTAATATGTGCTAAAATAACTAAAAAATTAATTAAAATAGAACGAACAGAGTATCAATTGTTATGTATTGTTCTTATTGTTAAAATGATCAACTTATAGCTTTCTGTGTAGTGCGTGAAGTAAACTAATACGTTTTAAATTAATTAAAGTAACGTTCTACAAGTAAAATAAGACTATTGAATTGAAATCTATTTATATAGAATATGAGAAGCAAATCAATGTGATGATGGCAAGTGTCATAATAAAAATTCAACAAGTGTCTAAATTTAGGATAAAATTAGTTAGGTCAGTTAATAATTAGTTACTCTTTTTGAATTTGAATAAAAATAATTAAATATCCATATATTTAAGGGAACTATTTTAAAAATTAAAAAAAAATAACTTCAATGTAGAGATATATAAAATAATAAAATTCTGTCAAATTATTCATTTAGAAAAATAATACAATAGTATTTATATTATATATAAATAATAAATAAAAAAATTAAAATATTGTAGAACAAAAACTAATGTATAAAGAGGAGAATAGATATAAGGTGATTCTATCCGCACTTTAAATTTATTTGATAAAACTAAGTAAATAAATAATACTCAAAAATATTATGATAAATTTGAATATCAAAATAATTATGAGAAAGTCATACATGCTAAAGTCAAGTTATATTCATTGTATTATATTAAACTGATAATTTATTAAAAATTTGTATATCAATTTAATAATATTAAGTAATGGATAATTTAATTAGATAAGCAAGGAACAAAAAAATAAATAAAATATAAATTTGTGTAAAAATATAAAAATATATGACTTATTATTAGAATTATGATGAGAAAAATCGTACATATACACATAACTAAAATCATAATAAACAAATATTCATAAAGGAAGAATACTAAAAAAGGATAAAAGAATTTCACGCGATAGCGTAAAAATATATATAGTAATTAAAATTTTCATATAGAAAATTTTAGTTAATAAATAGAACTCATAATTTCATAATAAAAAATATAAACATATAAAGATACTGTTAGGATATTATACAAAAGATAAGTATTATATATATTTAACACAAATTAATAATAATTATAAATATTGATAGGTTTTTAATAAAAATAATAAAGGCTTATCTCTTTATACTTTTGATGAATTAAAATTATAATTTAGTAATAAAATATTATATTATTTAAATTTTCAGTAAAATACAAAATGAGAAAACTAATCAAATATTACAGTAAAGAATAATGTACAAAAAGAGTAGGATAAAGATAATTTTATAATATATATTTTGAATTAATTAATAAATAACACTCAAGAAAATTATTGGTAAATTTAGACAATTGAAGAATTTTGAACAGTATAACATAAGTTAAAAAATAAAAATATTTTAAGAGTAAGAAAATATATATCTATATTATATTAAAAGAGAAGTAGTATCAAAATATTAAGCCAAGTGACAAGTTAATAAAAAGTCATATTAGTAAATGTATAGTCTAAGTACTTGCTAATTTAATAATAATAATAAAGAATATAAATAAGGATCAAACAATTAAGTTGATTACTATATAATATGTATCCTTTGATTTTGTATAAATTTTGTTATATTTCTATACACTATATTAAATAATAAAATAATAACTAATATTTATTAAAATAATATTATGATATATTAAATTATAATTTTATAAGATGAATATTGATGGCAGGTTAGAATTGCGTGATTTAGTCGCCTATTTTCACTCTAATTCACTGCATTTTACTTGTGTTGAGCTATAATTTATAGTATTTTGTACTTATTGCGTGTTTTATGCCTTGTAGGAGCGATCCCGAATTATGCAGATGTTGTGGAGCTAATTCTAGTAACTCGGGGGTCAACGGACGAGTAGTGCACTTAATGGGAGAAAAGAGTTGAGCAAGAGCGAATTTCAGATGCGCGGCCGCGCATGAGGGCGCGCAAATGATACAGTACTCTGCCAGACATGCGCTCCATTCTGGGAACTTTACCCACGCCTATTTTGGTAAATTCGGAGGTAACTCTTTTTGACCTATATGAAGCCTAGCTCGTCTCAAAACAAGGCATCAGAGATTTTGGGAGCAACTTTTGGAGAGAAGAAGGCAAGGAAACAACAGAAGTTCTAATCACTTCATTCAATACGAAAGTTTGTTTGATTTTGTGAATCGTATGTCTTCTTATTCTTCTAATACTCTTGTGATGAGTAAATCCGCCACTATGGAGTAATTTTTCTTAGGGTTACTGACGGATATTGTGATTTAACTATTATTTTGGGTTTTTACTCTCTGTTAATTGCCTGAATTCATTGAATGAGTTATTAATTGAATTGCAAGGCCAATTGTAGTTTTACTTTAATTAAAAGAGGAGTGTTGCTACAATTCGCATTGTGTCATATTATTTGGGTTGATTTTACGCTTCTCATAGGTAATCGAAAGAGCTTAATGTCACGACCCAGAATTTCCACCGTCGGGACCGTAACATTCCACTTGCTAGGCAAGCCGACGTTAGAGAATTATTAAGCCAATCCTAATTCAATTCAGTAAATAATAACAAATAAGCTAAAATAAAATAGAACGAGTGCAGAATAATATAAAACTTCATTAATTACTACCACCCGGATCTGGAATCACAATTCACGAACTTTTAGGATTTACTACAAGTAAAAGTCTGATTGAAATACAACTGTTTGAACGAAAGAAACAGTAAAAGAAAAGAACCGAAAAGATAGACGGGGACATCAAGGTCTGCGAACGTCAACAGATCTACCTTGAGTCTCCGATGAACCAGTCCGAGTTGCTACGCCTCTCGATCAGCTGGGACCAATACGAAAATCTGCACAGGAAGTGCAGAGTGTAGTATCAGTACAACTGACCCCATGTACTAGTAAGTGTCGAGCCTAACCTCGACGAAGTAGTGACAAGGTTATGACAAGACACCTACATAACAAACCTGTGTAATTTAACAGTATATGTACAAATAACAATTAAACATGTACTATTGGGAAGGGGGACATGCTGAGGGAAATACGAGATAAAGAACTATAGCAGAATGTAACTTGAACAGCCAATATACTATGAACCAATAAGAACAAGTAAACACAGTAAAGGAAAAAATGCACGGCATCACCCTTCGTGCTTTTACTCTCAACCTCACCATAAAATCAATAGAAATGGCACGACAACACCCTTCGTGCATTAACTCTCATAACATGGCACGACATCACCCTTCGTGCATTAACACTCACAATATGGCACGGCATCACCCTTCGTGCATTAACACTCACAATATAACACGACATCACCCTTCGTGCATTAACACTCTCCCTTACCATAATGCAATAAACAAATAACAACAGGGAGATAAAATAACAAGTACAAGCCTTACTTCAATATTTGGTTCCACAATATCAACTTCAACTTCAACTTCAGAATCAATACTCAATTATCATCAGAAGATCCACAAATATGATAAGAACGATCAATTTAACAATACTAGTCTAAACATGGATAACATGAACAAAGGAAGCTATAATGGCAAGAAATCAAACCCCACCCGCATGCTTTAACCCGACTACAATGCATAAGTACTCGTCACCTCACATATACGTTGTTCCCCAACATTTAAACATATAGCAAATAGACAAATAAGTCTTATTCCCTCAAGTCAAGGTTAACCATGATATTTACCTCGCTCCGAAGACCAAACTCAAAGCTCAACCACGGCTTTTCCTTTTAAACAAGCCTGCGAACCAATAAAATCTAGCAATTTACCAACCAAACGATTCAAATTAAGCCTTAGAAATTACCCATAATTGTAAAGAATTCAATTTAGGCAATTATTAAAAAAGTCAACAAAAGTCAACACTCGGGCCCGCTTGGTCCAAACCCGAAATTCGGACCAAAACCCAATTACACATTCATTCCGAGCCTGGTTATATGATTTATTTTGGAATTCGACCTCAATTTGAGGTCTAAATTCCTAATTTACCAAATCCCTAATTTCTACCCAAAAACTCCCAATTTCCACCATGAAAACTTTATATTTTAGGTTGAAAACTTGTGAAATGTAGTGAAAGATTGAAAGAAAATAGGTTAGAATCACTTACCAACGAATTGGGGAAGAAGAAGTCTTGGAAAAAATGCCTCTAATGTTTTAGGTTTTGAAAATTTGAGAAATGAATCAAAAATCCCGTCTAAGTCATAGTTGTTCAGCTGCAGATGTTGCATTTGCGAACTGGGCGAAGCCCGCAAATGCGAATATTTCATCGCAAATGCGAGAAACATCACACCTCTGAATTCTTCGCAAATGCGAAGAATAGTTCGCAAATGCAAACTCAGGCTTAGGATCTAGACAACGACATCCTTTAGAGTTAGATGCATAACCAAGAAAGATACAGTGAACAGAAAGGGGTGTGAGCTTGTGAGGTGCTCGGGTAGAAAGGTTAGGGAAGCATTCACAACCAAAGACTCTAAGAAAATTATAGTCTGGAGGTCTATGAAAAAGCCTTTCAAAAGGAGAGAGTCCTTGGAAATTAGGCGTTGGCAATCTATTAATTGTATAAACAGCATAATAAGCAGCATCAACCCAAAATTGAGATGGTAAAGTAGCCTCTGCAAGAATGGTACGCACTATTTTAATAATGTATCTATGCTTCCGTTCAGCAACCCCATTTTATTGAGGAGAGTCTGAACACGACTTACGAAAGAGAATACCCGAGTTGGAAAAATGTGAGAGCATAGCTTTGTTATCAAATTCACCTCCTCCATCACTTTTAAAAGTCTTTATTTTAGAGTTAAATACGTTTTCTATTAGTTTTTGAAAAGCACAAAAATGTGTAAAAACTTCTGATTTACTCTTCATAGGGTATAACCATGTAAAACGAGAGAAATCAAAAATAAAAATAACATAATATTTAAATCCCAAGTTTGATAAAATTGGCGACTGCCAAACATGAGTGAAAAATGTCTAATGGAAAACAACTACAGCGATCCACTAAACTAAATGGTAAACGTTGAGATTTTCCTAATCGACAAGGGACACAATCATTATTATAACAATTAATCAAACTAATGTAATTATTTTTTCTAAGACGATCTAAAGTATAAGCTCCATTGTGACCTAAACGACGATGCCAAATATCTCCAGACTGACGTAGAAAAATACATGCTTGAGGATGAGAAGACACTAATGAAGATGCTAGCGGATAAACATCACCCTTACTGGAAGTTTGCAGGAGAGTTTGACCCGAGGCTTTGTCCTTAACAGAAGCAGAACAATAATCAAAATTAACAGCACAATTGTTATCCTTACACAACTTCTTTACGGAAATTAAATTATGGTGAAGTCGAGGAACATGAAATATGGAGCACAAGTGTAATGAACGAGATACAAAGGGTAACTGAGTATATCCAATGTTTTTAATATTAAGCAAAGTGCCATTTCTGACCAACACACGATCAGAGCCAGTATAAGGTGATTTATGTAGAAAATTACCTTCAGATGGGGTCATATGAGCGGACGCAGCAGAGTCAAAGTACCAAGTAGCATCATTTGTTTCACCAAATGACATAGTAGCAAAAGACTTAGGAAGATCATTAGCAACAAAAGCATGATTAAATCGATTGGTACACTGTAATGCAGAGTGACCGGGAGACCCACAAATTTGACAAATGGTAGAAGAAGGATGTGCTCCTAAGACTTCTGCAGATGGTGATGTTGAACTAGTAGATTGTGAATGATAGGAAACATGGGAATTACTACCAATACCTGATGAAGACTGTCCATGAAAACCGTTGCGTGAAAAATTATTAGGTGAAGAAACTTGTTTTGATTGACCGCGACCACCAAAGAAGCCTCGACCTCTTCCTCCACGACCCCTTCCTCTAGATGAGTAAGACCGACCTCTGCCACGACCCCCTTGAGATATTGATTGATTACCAGAGACAAAAGAGGAGTTAGGAGATACATTCTGGGCAGCAAAGGCTTGATGGGAGACAACAAGGTCTAGTTCTTTGAGGCGTTGCAACCGTTGATCATGAAGCAAGAGTTTGGTACGAAGTTCTTCAAGAGATAGTTGGCCTGAATAATGTGTAATGATGCCAACTAGTGTGTCATACTCTCTTCCCAACCCAATCTGTCCTATAGATGGGAAAGAAGGCAGACCAATCTGTCCTATAGATGAATCTAGTCGAATACTAGGAGCAACAGAGTGAAGGGGGAAAAAGTATTGTAATGGAGACAAAGGGGGAATTGAATCAGATGACGAAATATCCGATATTGATTGGGTAGTTGCAACAGTTGTTGTAGGAAAAGGAAGCGAGACATCTGAAGAAAGGGGAGTAAGCGACTGGGAAGCCATAGTAGCGTGAAAGAGGTAAAAGAAAGTGGTAGGACAGTTGGATTGTACTGGACGTCTGATACCATGTACAGAGAAGTGATTTCAAGGCCAAACAGCCTCTCTGCAGAGCTGTTCATATATATATATATATATATATATATATATATTGAATATAAAGGGTAAGGGAAGTAGGTAATGTAGTACAATACAAATCAAACTCTCGAGTCCTACAAGTATATGGACTAGGAGTCCTAATAGACACAGTTTCTTAAACAGGTTTACAAATTCGAATGGCAATATCTAAATTGGATAATTTTTTAGACTCTCCTTTAACAATGTAAGACAAAAATAGAATGAACTGTACCTTCTTTTGTTCCTTTTCCTCTCAATCTAACAATTCTCCATCCCAGACGGGGAAACGAACTATGTGTCAACACTTAGTGATGATATTTGAACGTATATATATAGGCAAATCGTCAGATATTCTTATCCCTCCGCTCTCATTTTCTTTCTATCTTATTATGTAATTCCTATTTTATTCCTCATAAAATGAACTCTAATTTAGTTTAAGGGGCAAATCACAAAAAAATAAGAGGATAGGATGTAAATAAAAAAATAGTACATACATTAGGTGAGCAAAATGCAAAGAAGCCTACGATCTTCTCTTGTTTTAGTAGGAAAGAGAAGTTACTAATAAATGATTCTAAAAAGTCATTAATTACTGAATGATTGTATTCATTTATTAGGGGAATCCAGTCATTATTGATTGAGAAAATGACAGCATATTGTCATCTCCTGTACTCAATATAATCCAAATTTCTTTTTAATATTCCCTAAATCCTTTTGTTTACACTGTTGCCGAACTTTTTGAAACCCCCTCATCCTTGCTTTTCACTACCCACTTTATTTAGGATCTCTTAGGGGTTGCTTCAGTGGTGAGCACCCTCCACTTTCAATTAATAGGTTGTGAGTTCGAGTCACCCCAAGAGTAAGGTGGGGAGTTCTTGGACGGAGGGAGCCGAGAGTCTATCGGAAACAGCCTCTCTACCCAGAGTAGGGGTAAGGTCTGCGTATACACTACCCTTCCCAGACCTCACTAGTGAAATTATACTGGATTGTTGTTGTTGCTGTTACAGTGCAGATAACTAAACAAAGTTAGTTAGCAACTTTTAGAATAAATAATTCTGATATGATGATGAAGTTAAATAAAGTAACTATTGTGGTTTCCTTGACTTACTCTTACTATCTATTACTAATAATCTTAGAAATAGGTATTTAAAAATGGCTAATAATCTATCCCAATTTGTGGTACCTGATGAATTACATTGTCCCAGATTCATTTAACATAAAAAGAATAATATCTGTCATAATCAAAAGTTTGTTGGAAGCTCTATTCAAATTTCATCTTTATAAAAAGTCGATCAATTTAGATATCAGTGTACTGCTTTTTAACGTTTCTTGAGTTGCCGATATCAAACTTTTAGAAGAAACCAACGCTACCGAAAAAATGCAGCTACTTATATAACTTACAATCTGTTCCATCCATTGAATTAGCACTTGGATGATAAAACTTTCTAAATTACTCCCTCCACTTCATAATAAGTGACTTTTTTACCTTTTTATTTTGGTTCAAAATAAGTGTCCTTTTATATAATCAAGTTAACAATACATAAATTTTAGGGATTGTTACACAAATAACTCGTCAGATTTAATGTTTACTTTTTCTAACTGGTATTCATAAATTATACATTGATTATACATACTTATGCATATATTATACATAAATTGTTTCGCCGGCTATTTATAATTTAAATATAATTTACTCAAAGCACCTTTTTTAGGAATTAATATTTTTTTCAAGGGGCATGCCAAGATCAAAAACTCGAGTAACATTTCACTTCTATTCCAATTTCCAAGGCAGACAGGGAAGAGATTAGGAAATAGTGCCAGCCCC